AATAGTGTCACTAAAACAATCATAAAATTATATGATTCATTTGATATATCAAATGAATGAATATTGTGTCACTTCCTTGTAATATCACTTCTGTTTATTCTATGAATAACACGGTTTTTTCCGTATGTGATGATTGTCACCTGCTCAAACAAAAAAGTAGATAAGATACGGAAATTATGATTATAAATACGGTCTTCACTGTGTTGAAATCTGTATCTCAACTTTTAATATCATTCGAAACGAAAATTACTAAACAATGAATGCAAACCGATTGTTTTTTATCTTATTCATGGCTGTTTTATTGTATGCTATTCACAGCATTCCATTGAAAAATAGTGCTGAGATAGGTATGTCATTTATATAAGATATATGCGTTTGACTATTTAATTTATACTTTCAGAAGAAGATATGTCTGATGACCCCTCAATTAGACGTGGAGATTGGGGTTGCAACGGTCCAAATGATAGACATGAACATACATGCAGAGTACACTGCGAAATACTCGACTACAAAACTGGCCGTTGCAGTCGTGACTCGAATTACACACTATGTGTATGCATCCTATGATCACCGATGATATAATACTACATTAATTATTAACATTTAATCAAGAAAATATTAAAAAAGTCATTTTGTTGATCTTCCGTTTTTATTTTATGTCAAGAAAATAATAAGAAAAATTTCAATTCGTAATAAATAATCGAAGCTTATTAAAATTTTGTTGATAACATAATAATAGGTGAAGTCTGATCGATTGATATTCGAGTAGCAAGTATTGTCTTTTATATGTTCGGTATTCATTTATTGTTTGCTATTTCAGCTACTTCTGTATAATATATTGTTTTTTTTCTCTCTTTATTTTGGCACTTCAACCGTCATATCATTTGATTGTGCACTATGTTTAAACTCAATTTATTCTATACTGTGCTCAAAACGAAAACACTCAGGGTGCCTTATATCGAAGTTTAGAAGTCTTTTCAGTCGACGTTTTTTTGCATGTGAACAGAACTATCCAACAATGTTAAAGCTATAAATTTCACTTCTTAGCACATACGGAACGTACTGTAATCATGAAAACATATTTAACGATATTTGATCTCGATGGCTACTACTTGTAATACAAACGGAGATAACGATAGGCAGAAAATGTTGACTATACAAAAGGTATTTCCCTATACCTTATTTGCTAATATAGGTTTATTGATTTAGCGTGGGTAGTGAAGTGTGTGTATGTCGTATAGATTGACTTATGTTAACTAGTCATTTATATTCGATCATTTTACAAGATAAATACCAGCAACAGTAACATAGCTATATTTTTTTGATTTTTATCTTATCCAAAATTCATAATCGTTGATGTGATATAAATTGATTGCTTCCTAAAAATCTATAGGATAAAGACAATTTAAAAAATACCCGCGCACATGATATTTGTAGAATATAATTGTTGCCTTTTACTTGCCACGTCGTTTGCTTCCTGTTTGAAGCATCCTGCTTTCCATGATTGAATTATTCTATTATCAGTTAACTTATTTGTCACTTTGAAGACACACACACACATTTATATATATATACATTAGTAGAAGGTTACGATTCTAATCCTTCAAAACCTCAAACGATATCAGTTCATTGTATTTTTATGTGCTTTTTCAACGTTGACTTCTTGAAATTGGTAAGTCGAATAAAATATTCGAGAATAAATTTTTTTGTTCTCTATTGAAATTGCCAAAAACTGAGTAGAATAAACCGTTGGAACCGACACCATCACATTTTGTTTACAAAATCGGATTATTTTATATGGAATAATTTTGACATTATTCAGAACTGATAAATAGTTTTCAAACTAACTTTGAATTGTTATGATTTTGATATCTTTTTGAAGAATTACTCTAAATTAACATGTCAACGTGATAATCGCTATCGACATCATTCTACTTTTGTGCTGCTAGGTTTCATACTACTACGATAGTTGTTAGTGAATTTTGCGTTTATAAAGATAAACATTTGAGAATGTTTCTATTGTATTTCAGATATATTTACTTTTGTGTTTTAACATATAATTGACTTCATATATGTAAAATTGTTTCCGTTTGCAAGCGTGCTTTTAGATGTAAAACAATTTCAGCATATACACTCGGTTAAAAAAGAATAATAAAGCATCTACAATGAAAGTAATAACTTTCCAGTTTGTATTGATAGTTTTATATCAATTCAAAATGATCAATTGTCATTTAAATATTCAAGAAAGTGTATCAATAATGAACAACAATACGCTACAGTTTGATTGTTTGTATTATTACTCTCGAAAGGAAGCCGTGGCTTATCAAGGATTAGCTGATGTCACTGAAGAGCTGATTCCATATTGCTTTCGTCCAACTGATGGAAGCAATATGCCATATGGCAATTTTATCGAGACCAACGGTAAATTATTGTCTTTTGAGGATCTGTATCTCGGTAATATCACTGTTCAGCAACTTCTCTCATGGTCAGCATCCATCGATCTCGCTGAACGATATCAATTCTATTTGATTGAATTAAATAGTTCGTTAAATGAGCATTTTTATAATTGTACTCGACCATGGTTTGGTTCTCGATGTCAATATTCATTCGATCCTAGCGAGAATACATTCGTTGCCCAAATAGTTGAAAGTCAATTTAGTAGAAGATTGGGCTATCCAGAGACGTCTGATACGGTGGCACAGTTACCATGTTACATTCATCTTCATTGTGACCGTGGTGAATCATCTTTATGTTTAGATTGGCGTGAAGTATGCAATGAACATGTAGATTGTCTCGGTGGTGAAGATGAGGCTGAATGTTATAAGATGGAATTAAATGAATGTGAAGAGAATCAATTTCGATGTCATAATGGTTTATGTATTCCAGATGTCTTATGGGGAAATGGTTTGGATGATACGGATTGTCTCGATCGATCAGATGAAATATTTAAAAGTGACATTAATTCTTGTTTTAAAGATCCATCTTTTCGATGTGAAGAACATATGTGTCGACCAAATTGGCGTCAGTTTGCTTGTGGAGATGGACAATGTGTAGGGAAGTTCGACAGTTGTAAAAATGGCCGTCATACTTCCTTAATAGAATCGACATTTGCAAAAGGAAATTTATCAGAAAAATGTTGGATTGCTCTCAATTGTCTTACTACACTCGTTCATCAAATCAACAATATTTCATGTGAAATTTTACGTTTGAATAATTCATTATTAGAATTTCTTGATGATTGTACAGAAATATTTCAATTCCCAATTAACTCGATTCATTTTGGTCATATTCGTTTTGTCTACATACGTTCTCGATTGGAACAAAATATTAATACAGATATGGTACCTGATTACATTTGTTATGATGAACAATTGTGTGATTTTCTTGAACCTACATCTTCGTATGAAAATCTAACTTGTTTACATAGTGATGATCTTCCAGAAAAAGATATACATATTACTAATCCTTGGACTAATATAATCATCTGGATCGATGAATTTTTTCGATTTTGTTCCATTACATATCATACAGCTGATAATAATAATCATTCATCTCTATATTCCTGTCAAAGCTCGTCAAAAAGAATTTCTAAGCATCGTATCCTCGATCAGATTTATGACTGTTATTTGCGTGACGATGAAAATTCTGCCATGAGTTGCATGTTAGGTGACAAATATCGAATTGATTGTCTTGATGGAGAGAATTGTCTGTCGCCTTTACTTAGTATAGATCATTGTCCAGAAAGTTTGAGTGAAGATCAGGAAACATTTCCATTCGAGGCAATTTGCAATAAAGCACCGTTGAAGATTTATGCCGATAATAAAGTTTATATAGACGAAGCCTACTGCTCAGATTGGCCCTGTGATAATATATATTCAAGATGTGACAACGTTCGAACATGTTTTGATGGCCGAGATGAACTCAATTGTGATCAACGATGGTGTTCATCAGACACTTTTGCTTGCATCTCTCCCATCAATTATACATTGCTCTGTCTGTCGGTTACACGTATAAATGATAACGTCATAGATTGTTTTGGATCATCAGACGAACCGATGTTTTGTCTAAAAAGATATCCATCCAGTATGGATTCAGTGCGTTTTCTCTGTTCCAATAGCAACACATGTTTACCATTGTCAAAACTATGTGATGGTACAACAGATTGTGAGCCTTCGAAAGATGATGAAAAATTCTGTACTGGACATCGAATAATCTGTGATGAAAAATTAATTGGTAATATAAGCATTGTTGAAGATTTACTTTGTCATGCAAATGAAAAAAGTAGAAGGCGTTTTTTCTCCGTGGATACTTCAATCAACTATCCTTCGTTGGAAAGTAGTGTTCAAGATAAATTCGATGATTCACCAAACGAATCTTATGTTACTCTAGATAATACTCAATCATGGGGCGACAATTATCCGTGGCCATGGGTTTGTAATCGTGGACTGTTCGTTCGTGTTGCATTCAACAACGGTACCATTGAGAATCGATGTTTATGTCCACCGAGTTATTATGGTGATTTATGTCAATATCAAAACCAACGAGTCAGTATAACTTTGCGATCAACGGCAATGAACAGATATGCGTCATATGCTCTTGTGTTAATGTTAATCGATGACGATGATGAAGAAGAGCAGATTGAATCATATGATCAATCTGTATATATTGCCAAACATAGTTGCAGTCTCAAAGTCAATCGATATTTGTTATACTCGACACGACCTAAAAATACATTAAAGAACTATAGTGTGCGTCTTCATGTATTCGAAAAGACTAAAATGATCTATATTGGAAGTTGGCATTTTACCATTAATTTTCTGTTTTTACCCGTCAATCGATTAGTTGCTTCTGTATCTATACCGGATATTAAAGGTCCGATCTCTGGCAATTGCGAAAAAGATTGTAAAAATGGAAAATGCGTTCAATATTTGAATAAGAAGAGATCGTTTTGTTGGTGTTCTCAAGGTTGGTCTGGTAAATATTGTCATATTCGAATTAATTGTGAAAGTTGTTCGAAAGATTCGATATGTATAGGAACATCGAATAACCGTGCTATTTGTGTTTGCCCATTAACTAAATTCGGTCCGAGGTGTTTTTTAAAGGTGTCATGTCCGTTGGATGCTTGTCTCAATGGTGGTCAATGTGTTTCAGATGTTAGTTCAACAAGAAGTAATTATCGTTGTCTTTGCTCCGAACAATTCTTTGGATTGCGATGTGAACATATGCGAAGTAGACTCGATGTGTCATTGAATAAGATTGATAGTCCACCATATATTGTCGCTTATTTTATCAGCACATCGAACAAATCAAATCCAACGACGAGTATTATACTTGAAAAGGTGACTCTATTTCAACGCATTATTACTTTTCATATGTCAGTTCCATATAACTTGGTTGTTGTTAAAGTCAAAGAAAAATTCTACCTTGTCGTAATTCAACAATCACCTCAAAAGAAGATTTCTACGATAATTCATCCGAATCGGGAATGTTTTCCCATCGAATCATTATTTAATCCAGATATGATGGCAATGAGTCATTCTCGACGTTTAAGATTCTACCATAATTTATGTCAAAATAATTCTAATCTGCAATGTTTCATCGATGAAAGATATCTATGCTTGTGTACTCGTGAACGTCACGCTAATTGTATGGACTTTGATCGTCATAAAAATCTAGCATGTGTAGAGAAAATCGAATGTGAGAATGGAATCGAATGTTTGGAAGATCATCCGTCCTGTCCATCGACAAGAATTTGTGTTTGTCAAGATTGTTTTTTTGGCGATCGATGCCAATTTTATGCTAAAGGCTTTGGCATAACGTTAGACGAAATTCTAGGCTATGAAATTGAACGCAATATCAATATATTGTCACAACCTTTATCGGTACAAGTGAGTGGTATAATTACAATGATAATGTTTGTCGTGGGTGTCGTCAACGCTATTTTAGCCATATTCGTATTTATCGATAAAAAAGCGCGAGAAGTGGGTTGTGGATATTATCTTCTTGCTTCGTCAGTCACGTCACTTATCATCGTTATATTATTCACAATTAAATTCTGGATTCTTTTTTTCTCTCAGATAGATCAATCTAATCATCGATCTTTAGCAATTACCAGTGGATTCGCTATCGAAATTCCTCTAAAAATCTTCTTATATATGGACAATTGGCTCAGTGCTTGTGTAGCCATTGAACGAGTTTATACTGTCGTTAAGAGAATGAGTTTTAATAAAAAGAAGAGTAAAAAAGTAGCCAAATATGTCATCTGCTGTTTACCTATTATTATTATTGTGCTAATGATTCCTCAACTACTGAATTTAGTTGAATTTGACGATGAAAAAGAGGATCGAACATGGTGTCTCATGCGTTATAGAGTATGGCTTCAGATCTATAATTTAACATTAATTTCTTTTCACTTTTGCGTTCCATTATTGATTAATTTACTATCATCAGTATTTATTATTATCACTACAGCTCGTCAACGATCAACAACACTTACCAATAACCAATGTTTTCAACATCTTTTTAACAAATTAAAACAGTATAAGCATCTTCTGCTCAGCCCTCTTATGTTGGTCGCTTTATCATCACTTCATGTTGGCATCACTTTCTCCATGGATTGTAAGAAATCATCATATCGATTTCGACTTCATCTAATTGGTTATTTTCTTTCATTTATACCATCAACATTGGTTTTTATCATTTTTATTCTCCCATCAAGAACCTATAGAAAAACATTTAAAGATGCTGTTATTCGTTTTCGTCGGCGTTTTTCATTCTATCGACCAACGGTGGAAAAGCTAGTTGCAATCAAAGCAGCCATTGAAAACAAGTGACAATCATTCACAATCGAACTTGAACCACTTTTAACTTGTTTCTCTCCTATTGAGGGCGTGAGTGTTGATATGAGTTTCATGTATATTTGTAGTAAATATATAACAGAATAATATACGATATTCAGTCATCTTTTTACATTACAATTCTATTTATTTCCAGAGTCCAGATTGTGTGGGTGTAGTTATGGCTTGAGTAGAATACTCGCATCTACACCCACCACTCTCTAGAGTGAATATGAAAAGAAAGATCTTTATAAAATAATTTTGTCTTTTCGTCCTCAATCATGTCTGTTAGATCTTATATTTGTTGATATATAATGATGTTTACTAATGTAATTTAAACCAACATTATATTATACAACTAATCTAAATTTTATATAAAGTAAATATTCTCAATTGGTTTATTAATATGACAGATATTCTTCTTCTTTTTGACACTGTGTTGTAAGTATATGCCTCAGTTGAATTTTCAGACGGTACTGCAGATGATGGAGTTCAGCTGTTATTTTATAATGATGATTTATGTTCAACCCAGAAGAGGTGTTAACAACAAATCCGAAACAAAAAATAATGAGGCGAAAGAAAATGAGGAAAAAATCTCTTCGAAGTTTATTGCCACCTAGAAGACACAACAAGTAGGAAGAGTGATAATCTGATAAGAAGCTTATTTTTCTAAATCTATCAATAGTGAGAGAAACTAATTGAGAAGTGTGACAATGTCTTCAACGTCGTCTTTATCACGCGCCTGTCTTGAGTTTGGACGATTGTTGTCGAAAGATGAGTTTTATTTCTTTTCTAAGTTTCTTGTTTTCCGGATTCCTTGACATGTTCATTAAAAAACGTATGTAATTAGTGATGTTTTTCTCTGCATTTATTAACATGTGAGACACAAGCTTTGAATTAATTCACATGGATGAAAATGTATGACATAGATCATTACAAAAGAAACACACTTATAAGTAACCACTAAATTTATTTGGATAGATATTATCAAAAGATAACGAGAAAGAATTGTTCTTAGGAAGATACGTTTACTTTCATCATATAAATTTCTGTCGACTGCTACCACGATAAAACGTCTGAGTACAGAACTCTGAGATTCCACAGAATTGAAATTGACTGTTTCATCATTGTCTAGATAGCAGAATTATTCTCATTCTTATTAACTATTCAATAGAAACTGATAGATAACAGAACAAAAGTCAACATATATCAATTTCCGGAATACTGTCGATTAAGACGTTCGGAAATTAGAAAATTTTATAATTTCCTTGTTACAAACATCAATACACTTGACGTATTACTTGATTCTCAAATGTTGAAAAATGTGATTTCAAAGTAATAATACGTCTTTTATTTTCTAGGATTTATTCTTATACAAGTTACAAAATTAAATTTCAGTCGCTCGATTCTTCTTTCTTTAGAAATAAAAATTTATTTACATGTCGTTGAGTAATATTCTTCTAATGATTCAACGAGAAATGAATCGTTATTTTTGTCCAATCTGTTTAATATTTGGTATTATTGGATGTCTTCTCAATATACTTCTTTTTTCTCAAAAACAATTTCGAAATATATCTTGTTGTACATGTAAGTCTATATAATATTAACCTTTAGTTATGATAAATGATATTTAAATTTGAATTTAGATTTTCTTGCAGCATCAATTTCAATGATTACAACATTAATTTTAGGCTTTGGACCACATGCATATTCAGTGAATCATCCAAATCCAGTTCATACAATATCAAGTTTTTGTAAAATCCGTAGTTATGTAGCTCAATCTTTTATGATGATACATCGTTGGTTGATGGCTATGGCTTGCATTGATCGATATATGGTATCATCAATTAATGTTAAATTACGAGAATTTGCTAATCCAAATGTAGCTTATCGTATAATAATCATAATTATGATAATTTTTATCATTTTACCTTTACATAATTTGTTTTTTCTCGATATAAAAAATGGTATGTGTGTCAATTCAATTGTTGCGTTTACAATCTATCATAGTCTTTTTACAATTATTTTCGGTGGTTTTCTTCCACTTTTAATTATGATTACATTTGTTATACTCATACGTCATAATCTTGCAACGAAACAACAACGTCGTCAACGTGATATGTATAAAATAAAAGGTTCAACAGTTCGTTTACTTAATTCACGTGATTATCAAGCACTTATGATGTTATTTGTTCAAGTTATTTTTTATATTCTTTCAACAATATCTTGGATGATCTTTTTAATTTATGCACCTTTTGGTCGAAGAATACACAATAAATCAAATAATCGTATCGCTATTGAAAAATTTTTTCGATATATTACTGAAATTCTTGTTTATACATATCCGACTTTATCATTCTACATAAATATATTTGCATCTCAAACATTTCGTGATGTACTTGTTAATATATTATGTTCATTATTAACTTCTAGAGAACGATTTTGGTATCGTTCTCGATTATCATTAACTCGAACACAGACTAATTAGAGAAAAAAAACGTTTTAAAAATACGATATATTCATATTTAATTTGATGATTTTATAATTATTAATTTCGTTTTCATAGTTATGCTCAATTTAAGAAGTTGATTTCCGTGAGACAATAATCTTTCAATCAATGTGAATTCTGATTATTGTTTAAAATTTTAACATACTGTCTTTCGTTGTTGTCCTCTTTTTTATTCTGTATATTATATTTTAATGCCTATAATAATAATAATAATAATAAAGAATTATAATCATCTTGAGAGTGTGAGTTTTGGTGCAAATATTATAACCCTTTATCAACATTCACACGCACACTCAAAAGATAGCTACATATTATGTATTGAAGAGTTTTCCGACAACTAATTATCACTTCTTTTCTTTATTTTACTTTTAACAATTCAACTCTGATAGAACAAGTTAATATTTTGACATATATACCAGGTAGTTATCAAATCAATGTTTGTATGTATCAGTAAGAGTACATGTTGTTTTGTAATATACTTATATACTGAACACTCTACTACTAATATAAATTTGAGATGAATCGGAACATGCTGACTCAAGATAACGACTACATAAGTATAATAGCAATGATCGTGTGTCTCACTTCAAGAGATCTAGAAAAGCAAATCATCGTAGAGTATTTAATAACTCACTAAAGGCCATTATGTGAATTTATATACTCGATTAAAAAGCAATCTGACAGTTGCGAATATTATCTCATGAGATAAAATTCGAGAATAGTAAAGAAACAAATAAATATAGACGACCTACCATTGGATGAAAACTATTTCATTCATAGTATTTTCTCCATCGTTTTTTACCGTTTACATGTAAAATCTATATGATTGATGATGTCACAATACAAGCTGTAGTCACATGGTTTAATTTAATTTCTATAAAGTAATGTTTAGTATTGTATTTATAATCTTTGGTCTAACTCTATAAACATTTCATGTGAATAAGTAACCAGAACAATAAATGGATAGATCAAATAAATTAATTAACGAAATAAATACATATCATCAATTTGTATTTGAAAAATGAATACTGTGTTCCAGTATCAGTTTATTGATCTTGAGGTTGAGTATGGATTAAGAGTGAATCACACAGGGATACCTATGCTCACCCACACCCTCAAGATGGTTACTACTGAACAGACAGTAGCTTCTTTTCGTGTACGCAAACAGTATAAAAATAATATTACATTTCTTTGAAGAGTTATTTTGTTTTTTGATTGATGATATTTTATTTAGTAGGAAAAAAAGGATTAAAAAAAGTGAGCTCCACACGTACACTCGAAATTTCGAGCTTACTTACGCATCCACATTTTACCACTCAAATGCAGTTCATATATGTAGATTCAGATTGACTTCACGTGTTTCCCATACGAATTAATTAAACAACAGTATATATTGAACAATAAATGAGATACTATTATTTACTTCCAATAATTAATAAGATACCTCTAATTACTGCAGATTAGGGATCGACAAAGTTCAGCTCTGTTTAGAACTGTTTACTTTTTCAGCAGTTCAGTTCATACGAACCGATCTGCATTAACAGCCCATTTAAATAACCGGAACTCTATGATCAACTCCTTTCCACGAACACTGAAAAATGTACTGCTCTCATACCATGCAGGAATATCCTTGGATTCTCAAGTCCTGTACCATATGGGCACGTTTGGGTCCCCTACTACTATATTATGGAGGTATCGTTGGATCCTCATATGCTATACTAGGGAATACACTTGGGTGCATATGTAGTATACTAGGAAGATTTCTTGAGTCATCTAGTCCTTTATTACTATGGAAGCGTGGGTAGCAGATTATCGGCCACAACGAGTCGCTTCTAAAATAAGTAGCTCTAGTATTTAGGAATACCAGCACATTTCACTGATTCAGAATTCATGAGTACTCTCTGTAATAGGACTTGCGAATTCAAGGATATTCCTGCATGGTAGGAGAACAGTATATCTTTCAGTGTTGGTGAAAAGAAGTTGATCATAAAGTTCAGTTCAGTTCGGGAAACTGAGCTTTTGAAAAAAATGAACAGTTTTGAGCTAGACCTAAACGTTGTCAACTCGCAGTCTGAAGTAATTAGACGTAGCTCCTTATTTACTGAAAGTAATTACAAGAGTATCCGTGATTAGCGATACTAATTAGGAGTAATTAGAGAAAGTCTAACGTGGAAACATCTTCCAACTGATTCCCAGTGAGGTATGAAAACTTCAAAAAGATAAGTCACCATAGGCCTTCTCTCCGGAACTATAGACGATATACTGACATTTTAGTCTATGGCATGGCATATATAAATAAATCGAATGACGGTGTTTGATCTGAGGCTTTACCCATGGAGAGACCTATATGTAGGTAGAATGCCCTGAAAATTTCAGCTGAAAAGAACGTTTCCATCTCGAGATATGAAAGAGCGTTCTTTTCTCCTGAAATTATCAAGGCATTCTTCGCACATATGGGTCTCTCTATGGGCAAAATCTCAGGTCGGAATACAGTCATTCGATTTATTTATATATACGATGCCATAGGCTAAAATCTCAGTATATCGCCTGTAGCTCCGGACAGAAGGCCTATGGGCGCTTATCTTTTTGGGGTTTTCCGTATCTCACTAGGATCTACGTTATGCGCAGGGTCCGAACTCCAAAGTGATCTTTCAGTTGGGGATGTTCTATCACAAGCATTCGGATGATGAATTGTAATATAATACTGTGATGAATTGCTTTTAGTAGTAAAGTGTGGAGTGGTACGAGATCAGCTCGGGATTTACAGCTTACGACGATTCAAACTCACTATTTTTGACCGAAAAAAAAGGAACGAATAGTTTTGAAAAGTTTATTCAATAAGAAAACGTTGTATTCGGTGATTTAGAGTGTCTGCTACATACAGATTACCACGACGATCGAAAGAGATACCCGTGGCCGCATACAACTGGTTTGAATCTGATCCTTGTCCGTTTCCACCCACAAGGACAATGCCCTGTGTGGCTTCTTTAGGCCAACACATTATTCGGTGATTGCCCGCGTCTGCCACGTAGACAGTACCAAAATTATCAACAATCACTACATTAGGTGATGATAGTTGTGTCAGAGCACTTCCGTCACCATTTCCTCCAGCGACAACAATTCCTTCTTTTGCATCTTTTTCCCACTTCATTACACGATGATTTCGATTGTCTGATACATAGACAGATTGTTTTTGATCGACAAAAATGAATGTTGGTATGTAGAGTTGATTATTATGATCACCTTTTCCATTACCACCAGCGACAACACATCCAGTCATGTTTGGCATTTGGTATCGTTTGACTACATGTTCTCGCGTGTCTGAGATATAAAGAAATTGTTGATCATCGATAGCCAATCCATAACAGCTAATGCCATTGATGAGAGATTCTCCTTGTGTGATACCACTGTGCTGATACCATCGTACGACTTGTTTACTGAATCGATTACAGATAATGAGACTATCAGTCCATTTGTCGATCACCACATCACTCGGTCGATTAAGTTGATTCAATTCAGATCCTATTCCATTACCGCCAGCTAACACTTGCCCATTCGTATCGCCTATTTTCCACTGGGTGACACGACTATTTTCGCTTTCGACGATTATCATTGTTTCATCTTGAGCAATAAACAAATTATAAGGTTCATGGAGCTGATTTGTGGCGTTGCCTTTTCCATCACAACCAGCAACACACTTTCCATCTTGTTTCCATCGTGCATTCGACGGAATTTGAGGAATAACTAGAAACAAATAAATAACAAGCTAAAAATATCATCCTGATAAACATATATCATTTTTTTGTCGAAAGAGCCATACAACTCATTCAGAGACTATATTTTATTGACAATTATTCAGGTTCGCTAAAGACTAGGGTGTGGGTGGATGGGTGTCAGTATCAGTGTCTCTTCTGTGTTGCATCATCTCACACCCATACATATTCACACCCCCCCCCCACCCCCCCCCCCCCCCCCCCCCCCCCCCGGGATACAACGGCGCCCCGCACCCCAGCCGACTCGGTAAATTTTAGCCAGACCGATGTTCCGGGCCGGATCGGGTCTGGTCTGGGCACCTGACCGCTTTTCAGGAGTCTAGTTGTGAATACAATTATCTCTTATTTATCTAATAAAATAGTGATTTTTACCTCTTAAGAACTTTAAATATTTGCCGTAGATAATAAAGAGTTTGATGTCGCCGCACCAATAACTGGGCACACTGTTTTGACCACTGAGTTCACTAAACTCAATGAATATTTCGAGTTCTCTAATGTCATTCTTCAAAGGAAAGCTGATGTTTGTTCCAGTTGAATCTGTATATAAAACATTTACTTTAGTGAGTGTTGTGCACTAAAACTTACTCAATCTGGGATGAATATTTATATCTTTGGAGTTATTAGTTACTTTCAGTTGGATCGATACACCAATGCTCATATTAGCGCTCAAAACAATCTGAGAATGTGGCCAAGATTCTGAATCCCACTTTGTTAAATTAACACGTCGAGACATGATAGCTCCAATATTGTATGATCGCAAGAAAAAGTAACAATTATTTGGATCAATGTGTGATATTTTTGCAGCAATATTGCCTTTGTGTAATATCCAGTTATTACGGAAAGACATATTGCAATCAGTTTGGCCATCATTGAGGAAGTTGTTGTCATGAGCAAGGGTTCCATTAGGCAGTAAAGCGTCATGAATAGAAATGGCACTTTGCAATTGCTTTTCTGTAATCTTAGCATTAGTCAAATCAACTTTATGCAGATTAGCTTCGGAAAAATTAACATTGTTCAAGTTAGATCCTATGAAAGAAGCACCTTGAATGTCAGCGCTTACGAACGTAGAATTTGACAAATCAACAGAAGCAAAATCTGCTTTATCAGTAATAGCTTCTCGAAAGTTTGTATTAAACATGCTAGTATTCCTGAATTTAACTGAAACTAGAAATATAATCAAACATGATATTTTATATGAGAAAAATGATAATTATGAACATTACCTAAGATGGCTGATGAAAAAATGGCCCCTTTAAATTCACATGAGAAAAGGCTAACTTTATGGAGTTTAGCTAATGTGAAATTTGTTTGATCGAATACAGCATTTGAAACGTTTGTATTGTCGAATTGTGTTAACGAAAAGTTTGTTGTACGGAAGTCGATGTATGACAGATTTGAACTGAAGAATGAACTATTTGGAAATGAAACCATATGAAATTCATTAGAAACAAAAACTGCATTGTCAAATCGAGCGAAATCTATACTAATTTTCGTCAGCTGAGCGCCTGCAAAGTGGCAATTGAAAAGCAGAGCTTTGGTAAAATCTACAGTAGTTAGAAAGCCATTTGAAAAGTCAGTATTATTAAGCCTTGTCGACACGAAACTGACATTCCGTGGCGTAAAAGAAGAAAAGTCGACATTATTGAGCTCAGACTCAGAAAAATTCACATTGTAACATCGAGCCGATAAAAAGCTAACATTGTCGAGTTTTGCGAACGTAAAGTCAACGTTTTCGAGATGGGCACGCGAAAAGTCTACATTATAGAGTTCGGCATATGAGAAGTTAACACCATCCAGATGAACAAAGGAAAAGTCAGTATTACGAAAGCGACTGTGTGAAAAATTAACATTATTAAGATCACTTCGTGAGAAAGTTATATTATCGAACTGTGTGTGAGCAAAGTTAATGCGTTCTGCTTGAATATGTGTAAACGTTGCATTCGATAGATAAATGTCAGTCAATGATAAGTTACGCAAGTATTTTTCGTATACTGCTAATTCACGAAAATCAATAGCATTAAGTTTTGCCGTTGAAAGATCCAATGCAGAACGTGTCTCTGAATCGTTAAGATTTGCCGTTGAAAGATTCGATGCACAACGTACCTCCGAATCATTAAGGTTTGTCGTTGAAAAATTCACTGCACGACGTGTCTCTGAAACAGGAAGTTGCTTAGCTTCGTGTAGAAATCTAATAATTCGAGCATTGCGTTGTGAATCTAGTTTACGAAAGATATTTAGAGTTTTCACTCGAGCTACAATAGCTGTAACGTCATTGTCTGTGAGTGAACCATTATTTTCTTTCAATAATATGGCCATCTCCCTAATATAAGTATCGAAAATTTCATTATTATATCTTTCTGTATCCAAAGTTTTCTGTTGGTTAAGATGTAGTTGCGATGCACTTCGATCTTCGTTACGTTGTTGTCTAGCTAATTTTTGCTGCTGAATCGCGATAGTAGATGTAAAGACGCCTAATACGAGTGGCAACAATAAAGAAGAAATAAACTTAAGACCATGTTTGAACTGCACGCCAAACATTTTACGCGGTAGAAATCCAGACGATTTCGTCTCCATAACTTCTTCTGAAGAAGTTACAGTGATTTCCTCGTCCATTATGTAGAAAAAAATGAACAAGTGACTACTAAGGTAAATCGTCGAAGTTGTCTCATTTTTTTGTTGATATATGACTTTAACCATAGACTGTTTCCTATTATTATGAAACATGAGATTACTCGACGTCAACTTTATGAAAATCACGCTCTCGCATTATTTGCTCTGTTTGCTATTGACTTATTATTTGA